TAAGGTTTTTAAAATGTTTAAGAAGCTTCATTTAAAATTAAATTAAAATGCAGAGCCCCCCCGACCAGTGGCCAGGACGGGGGCAGTGTGAGAGCCACTGAAAATCAGCTTGCATGCCGCCTTGGCATGCATGCCATAGGTTGCCTACCCCTGTTATAAGGGGATGCAATCCTGTCTCCACCCGGTGAACAAGTCAGATTAGTGCGTCCAGGCTGGTTGGAAAACAGCTGTTGGTACAGATGCAGCACCCCCCGATCTCAGCTTGCTGGGCAGGGGTTAGCCGATCAGAGAGGGGAATTGTTTCCAGGGGGGAGCCAGCTCTTGTCCCAGGGAATAGATCTACTTAAGGGTCATCTCCCTGCTCCTCCCAATGTCCACACATGGCCAACACCACATTCCCCCTGTCATGATATGGCTTCATCATATTGACATGGTACACTTGGCGATGGTGTTCCCGGTTAGACAGTTCCACCACATAGTTTACCTCATTTAGTTGCTTGACAACCTTGAAGGACCTATAGTTTGTTTTTTCTCATGGGGATGAGAACCATCACCTGATCCCCAGTGGCGTAGGAGCGGGCCCTCGCCGTGCGGTCATACCTCCTCCTTCCTTTGGGCTCTGGCCAGATTCTCCTTGGCCAGGCCCATGAGTTCAGCAAGTCTTTCTTGGAAGGTCAGGACATACTTCACCACTGTTTCTCCATCGGTAGTGGCCTTCCCCTCCCATTCATCTCTCATCAGGTCCAGGGGCCCCCTTACCCTCCTTCCATATAACCGTTCGAAAGGCACAAACCCAGTAGACTCCTGGGGCACTTCCCTGTACGCGAACAGAAGGTTAGGTAAGTACTTGTCCCAATCCTGCAGGTGCTGGTTCATAAAGGTTTTCAGCATCATCTTTAGCGTTCCATTGAACCTCTCCATCAGCCCGTTGGATTGGGGGTAATATGCTGAGGCCCAGCTGTGCTGGACCCCACATTTTTCCCACAGGCACCAGAGCAGGGCCGACATGAAGTTGGATCCTTGGTCTGTCAAGACTTCCTTGGGGAACCCCACTCAGCTGAAAATGGTCAGCAGTGCATCTGCCACAGTGTCTGCTTCAATAGAAGATAAGGGCACTGCCTTGGGGTAGCAAGTAGTGAAATCTACCACCACCAGAATGTATTTCTTTCCTGACTGGGTCGTCTTGCTGAGAGGTCCCACTATGTCCATAGCCACCTTTTGGAAAGGCTCCTAGACGATGGGCAAAGGTCTCAAAGCCGCTTTCCCCTTGTCCCGGGCATTCCCCACCCTCTGACAGAGGTCACAGGATCGGCAATACTGATGGACAGTGGTAAAGACCCTAGGCCAGTAAAAGTTCTGTAGCAGCCTCTGCCTGGTGCGCCGGATTCCCTGGTGCCCTGAGCAAGGGATGTCATGGGCCAGGTACAGTAGCTTGCGGCGATACTTCTGTGAGACCACCAGTTGCCTCCGGATCCCCCATGACTTCATTTCCCCTGGGGGAGCTGGGTCTGAGCCTTGTCCCTGGGCACTCCCTCCCCACCGGGGTAGGGTCCTGTGCCTCTGGTGAGGTACCCTCCCCAAGGTCATAGTGCCCTTCACCGGCTCTGGCTACGGGTCATGACTAGGGCATTCTGGGAGTTGCTTGGCTATTCTTCTAGGCCCCCCCCCATCAACACCTCAGTGGGCAAATGGTGGTGCACCTCCACGTCCTTGGGCCCTCCTTGGCCCCCCATTTCAGATGTACCCTTGCCATGGGCACCTTGAATGGGGTCCTTCCCACACCCGTCAGGGTCAGGTAGGTGTTGGGCACCACACAGTCTGGGGCCACCACCTCGGGCTGGGCCAGCGTCACCTCAGTGCCTGTATCCCAGTATCCATTGACTCTCCTCCCATCCACCTCCAGGGGAACAAGGCACTCGCTCCACAGGGACAGCCCTGAGCCCACCCTGTAAACTGAGAATCTTGAGTCTGGAGCATCCAGCCCCACAGAGAAGCTGGTCTGGGAAACTCCTCCCTTCTGAGCAGTTGGTATGCTGCCATCCCCCCTTGCCTGGGAAGCCTGCCCCTCATCCGGCTGGGTCCCTACCCAGTTAACCCTGTGCGGGTTCAATCTGCTCAGTCTGTCCTTGAGCCTGGGGCACTGGGTCTGTATGTGGCCTCTCTGGCCACCGTAATAGCAGCTGGTGTCTCGTTGGTCCCCTCGAGCCGGTCGGTTGGTCCTGACACTGGATGTTCCCCTTGGGAGGGTGTTTTCCATATTCCCCCATTGGGAGGTCCCAGGGTGACTCTCTCTTGGCATTGTGGCGGCCCTGTTCTTTTGGGACTTCTCCCTGCCATCCCCTGACCAGCTGTTCACAAACTCATCGGCCAGCTGCCCTGCACGTTGCGGGTCCTCTGGCTTTTCGTCCACAACCATAGCATCGGGTTGGATGGGCACTGTTCATACAGTTGCTCCAGTACAATCAGGTTAAGTAGGTCCTCCTTAGTTTGGGTCCATTCTGCCCACTTGTGGGCGTATCCCCGCATCCGGAGGGCCAGTTCTAGATATGTGACTTCAGGGGTTTTTCACTCACTCCGGAACCTTTTCCAGTACATCTTGGGAGTCAGCCCAAACTCGTGTAGCAGGGCTTTTTTGAACAGTTCATAGTCCCCTGTCTCCGCCCCTCTCATTCGACTATACATCCCTATGGCTTTGTGGTCCAGTAAGGGGGTGAGAAACTGGAGCCTGTCTGCAGGGTCAACCCTGTGCAGCTCACAGGCGTTCTCAAAGGCATTGAGGAAGTCATCTATGTCCTCCTTACACATGTCATCTACATCCTCCTTACGCCAGGCCAGGACACACTTATCAAATCTCCATGCAGTCCTGGGTCCCTCATCACTCACCGCAGCTGGGGGCTTGCTACTCCTCAGCCTTGCTGACTCCAGCTCATGCTGTCTCTGTTTCTCTTTCTCCTCCAGCTCATACTGTCTCTGCTTCTCTTTCTCTGCAAGTTCCTGCTGCTTCAACTCCATCTCTTTCAGTTTTATCTCCCTTTCCCATTCCAGCCACTACAGCTCCAGGGATGGGGAGCTCCACGGGGAGGATCCCCTCTCACAGCGCCCTTGGTATTCGCTGGGTTCCTCCCAGCCCTTTCCCTAGGAATGGGTAGGACGGGTCCCGGGATGCCCTCGGCAGCCATCTGACCCCTCCCAGCTGGGACAGACACTGGTGTCCACCCTGCATCTGCTGGGCTGCTTCCCTCAGAGACTGACAGGGAGCGGCTCCTCCGACCAATCCTCCTCCTCCAGCTGGGCAATCAGCTGTTCTTTGGTGAGCCTCCCAATGCACAGCCCCCTCTGCTGCACAGCTCGACCAGGTCACTCTTAAGGCGTTTCTTATACATCTTCCCGCTGGCCACTCGCAGGCCTGTGTGCTCTCAGCTCCCCACGGTTTCCAGGAGGAACCCCTAGTGTGCCAGCCCTTTTCCAGATCACCACCTCTCTCCCAGGGTCAAGCTGCAGACTCCTCCGCCCCTGATCCTGCTCACCACAGTCTCCAGGGGGACCCAGTTACTGCAACAGTCCTTCTTGCTGGTCACACACTCCCAGGGGCTAAGCGTAGTTTCTCCACCCCCTGAAACCGCTCCTTTCTGAATCTTCAGCACACCTGGTCCCTGTCAATCCCCCTTCATTTTACTGCTCACCAGTCACTTACTGCAGGAAGCGCCATCCACGGGGTGCAGTACATCCCACCGCTGCCAGTAGCTGTCACGGAGTGTGGGGGAGTCAGGGCCCTGCACCCTCACTTCCTTTGATTCACCGTGACTCTCAGCCAGCCAGTAAAATGGAAGGTCTATTAGACAACAGGAACACAGTCCCAAACAGAGCTTGTAGGTACAGCCAGGACCCCTCAATCAGGTCCCTTGGAGGTGGGGCAGGGAGCTTAGACCCCAGCCTTGGGGTTCCCTCTGCTTCCCCAGAGTGCTCCAAACTGAAAACCCCGTCCAGCAGTCTCACCCAGACTTCCCCCGGCTCCTCCTCCAGCCTTTGTCCAGTTTCCCGGACAAAGGTGTCATCTGGCCCCAACCCCCCTCCTGGCTCAGGTTGCAGGCTCAGGTATCATCCCTCAAGTGAAGTCACCCCCTCCCATCCCTAATGCAGATAGTCCCAGTAAAACTCCCCTGCAACATTCTCAGGTCAATCCGCCCAGCTCCCTACTGTGTCACAGCCTGTGTACTGAGAACTCCAAGGCTTTTCCATGCCATGTGCTGTGAACCTTGTGTTTGGGACACAGGAAGTAGAAGCTACAAGGCAAAAGGAATATAAAGGGCAGCTGCATTATATCCATTTTGTCTTCAATCCCTCTGGAGCAACTTTTCTACAAACTGAAGCCTTGAACAAAGGACTGAATGACCCATCCAAACTGTGGATGTGTTCCAGATGGACTTTCAAGCCAGCAACTCACCAATACTGCTAAGAACCTGATATATAGATTTTGGAATGTATCTGACTGCTTTCCCATTTACCAACTTCTGTCTTTCTGTCTTTCTTTCATAATAAACCTTTAGTTTAGATGCTAAAGGACTGGTGGGCAACATAGTATTTTGTGTAAGATCCAAACCAATACTGACTTGGTGATGTGGCTGACCCTTTGGGGTTAGAAGAACATTTTGTTTGTGAGCAGAGTTTTTAAGTAACCTCTCGCTGTATTGGACCTAGGTGCTGATTGAGAGTCAGAGAACTGGGATGCAATAAAGGGGGCCGTGTGATTTCTTTTTTTCAGCTTCTTGATAACCGGTGTGGGTGATCAGAAGCACAGTTTGTGACTGTTAACCACCAGATTTAGGAGCATCTGCTCTCCCTTTTTCAGCCTGCCCTGACCTTGGCATTTTCAGTGAGGCCTGCCCCAGGCACACCAGCTCACACTAAGCACTGAAGTTAAATTAATAGAATGTTTTTTTATGACAAAGTCTTATGAAATCAACTGAACTCCTTTATTTCCTTTCATCTGAGCAGGGTTTCCAGTTTCCAAACCTGATGTGATCTCCCAGCTGGAACAAGGGGAAGAGTCATGGGTCCCAGACCTCCAGGGTTCAGTGGAAAGAGAGATCCTGAGAGCTCGCTGCACAGGTGAGGAAACATTAAACCAACTCAGAATCTGTAAGTGCCTGAAGGAAACATCTGGGATCCCCTACAAAGCCCTTGGGAGGTCTCTTAGTTCATTATTGTCCCTAGCAGGGGAAATATCCCCAGGGTAAATATCGCTCATGGCTTCCTGTAGATCCTAGCAGACACCAAGCAGTAGCTTCCGCCCTTCCCCCTGTGAATTTGGATGGAATGCGAAGGCCAAATTGATCCCCTCCTCTCTCCTATTTGTGTTATGCTTATAATAAGCACATGGGATCTTTTTCAGGGGAAAAGGCAATATGCTGCGTTTATTGAAGATACAACAATTAGCATATGCATTCAATCACACCACACACATACGCTGTCCTGCCAGTCGATGTTACAGTTACCAGTCCAGAATCCCGATCAATCTTGTGGCCAGCTAGGTTGATCACACGTAGGAGGAGCCGGGTTCTGTTGGTTGCAACATGATTCTCTGGGGAAGTCTTGGCAGGATGAACCCAAAGTTTCATGGCAAGGCCCCCTGTTTATATAGTGATTTTCCTTCATTGCGACCAATGAGTTTTGCACCGTCATGCTGTAATCAATTGTTGTTTGATGAGTGCTTGTTTTCTTAAATTGTCCTTCTCATCCTTTATCTTTTTCTTTCATCAAGTTCCTCAAGGAGTTATCCCATGCTGGTTTTGATCAGAGCTGTCTTGTCCCCATTGATAGGTGCCTGTCTCATCTTTAGAGTCATCAATCTGTCGTCCTTTGACATTCCAGTAGGGGTGTGTTGCAGCCTCCTGGTGCCCTTGCGTCTGTCTTCAGTTCCTCCGTCATACATCTGGTTCAGCGATGGTCTTCACGCTTATCGCTTAACACATACATTCCTCATTCACACACAAAACAGAATTAATTTACACAGAACATTTTGAACAGGAACATCAAGTTGCAATGCAGAAGAAAACGATCACAGCATTCTTTTACTTATTTAAAAATGTTAAACCTACAACAAATTGGTGACCCTCAAAGCTCTGTTACTGTCTTGAAATCAGTCCAGACACAGATTCTGGCTGTTGTATCTCTACCCATTGGGCCATAAGGCCATTCCTTTCTGTTGTTCAAAAAGGGTGGCTGGCAGGATATGATCAAATCCTACACCAATACATTTAATACATGCTACGTTCTTGTTCTTTATTCTTCATTCTAAATTATATAAAATACAAACATAAGATCCTACTACTACATTTGGGGGAAGAGTTTGCGGGAGTTCAGTTCCTGATTTTTATTTGATGTCTCTTTAGCACTTGTTTTGGTTTGGCCTTCCCCTTTCCATCCCTATTTGAGGTTTCTGTCTCTATCACAGCAGGTGATGCAATGGTATGTGAGAAAGAGGAGCAGAATTCTCAGCAGGAAAATGTTGAGCAAGTGGATAAACACAGAGAATTATCGCAAAGATCAAAAAGCAATGTATCCAGGAGTCATGAGCAGGGACAATCCTGTGAGATTCAGCACAAACCAGAAAGAGAGCATGGAAACCAGCCAGGGGAGAAAGTGGATAAATTTATTTCCTGTTGGAGAACTCAGAACGACATCAAGGAAACCACAACACAGCAGGAAATCCTCAGGGGAAAGAGAAAAAATACATTCACTGAGTGTGGGAAAAACTTACGTGACTACTCAGCCCTTATAAAGCATCAGAGAATCCGCACAGGGGCAAGGCCCTATGAATGCAGTGAGTGTGGAAAATGCTTCACTAAGAGCTCAGCCCTTTCTGAACATCAGAGAATCCACACAGGGGAGAGGCCCTATGAATGCAGTGAGTGTGGGAAAAACTTCACTTACAGATCAGGCCTTTTTCTCCATCAGAGAATCCACACAGGGGAGAGGCCCTATGAATGCTGTGAGTGTGGGAAGTGCTTCATTAGCAGCTCAGCCCTTTCTGAACATCAGAGAATTCACAAAGGGGAGAGGCCCTATGAATGCAGTGAGTGTGGAAAAAACTTCACTCAGAGAGCAGGCCTTTTTCTCCATCAGATAAGTCACAGAGGGGAGAGGCCCTATGAATGCTGTGAGTGTGGGAAAACCTTCAATCGCAGCTCGCACCTTATTAGGCACCAGAGAATCCATACAGGGGAGAGGCCCTATGAATGCATTGAGTGTGGGGAAAGCTTCACTAACAGCTCAGCCCTTTCTGAACATCAGAGAATCCACAGAGGGGAGAGGCCCTATGAATGCAGTGAGTGTGGGAAAAAGTTCACTCGCAGATCAGGCCTTTTTCAACATCAGAGAATCCACACAGGGGAGAGGCCCTATGAATGCAATGAGTGTGGGAAAAGTTTCACTAGCAGATCAGCCCTTTCTGAACATCAGAGAATCCACACAGGGGAGAGGCCCTATGAATGCAGTGAGTGTGGGAAAAACTTCACTCACAGATCAGGCCTTTCTGAGCATCAGAGAATGCACACAGGAGAGAGGCCCTTTGAATGCCATGACTGTGGAAAATGCTTCACTAGCAGATCAGTCCTTTCTAAACATCAGAGAATTCACACAGGGGAGAGGCCCTATGAATGCAGTGGGTGTGGGAAAACCTTCATTCGCAGTTCGCACCTTATTAGGCATCAGAGAATTCACACAGGAGAGAGGCCCTATGAATGCAGTGAGCAGGGGTGGGTCCAGGCACCAGCGCAAGTGTGTGCCTGGGGCGGCAAGCTACGGGGGGCGGCCTGCCGGTCGCTGTGAGGGCAGCAGTCAGATGGCCTTCGGTGGCATGCCTGCGGGAGGTCCACCGGTCCCGTGGTTTCGGCAGCGGGCACGCGGAAGGTGCGGGACTGGGAGATCACCCGCAGAAACGCTGCCGAATCCGCGTGACCAGCGGAGCGTCCGCAGGCGTGCCGCCGAAGGCTGCCTGACTGCTGTGCTTGGGGTGGCAAAAAACATAGAGCCGCCCCTGGCAGCGAGTGGAAAAAGCTTCACTAGCAGATCAGCCCTTTCTGAACATCGGAGAATCCACACAGGAGAGAGGCCCTATGAATGCCATGAGCGTGGGAATACTTTCTCTTGGCACTCAGCCCATGTTAGCCATCAGAGAATCTGCAAGGGAGATCAACAGCATAAAAATCTCTAGGGCTATCAATACTTCTTTTCTTTAATACTTTTCCTGATTCCCACATAGTAACTTTCAAAGCTGTTTGAACTATTTGCAGCACCCTTATCCCTCAGCTTGTCCAGATGAGTGGCCCATTTTTCCTTTTGCAGTTCCCCCAGTTTTGAAGTGGGCCCATTTGTCCTATTAACTCCCTTGTCCCATGAATAATTCCAGTGTACCCTTCCTATCAGGAGGCAGGGAGCATCACGTTTATACCATTCCTCCTATTGCAAAGTTATTGTTAGAGTAAAGGACAATTACCTGTTCCGTAACTGGCGTTCTTCGAGATGTGTTGCTCAGGTGTATTCCACTATAGGTGTGCGTGCTCGCCACATGCACCGGTGCTGGAAGTTTTTCCCTTAGCAGTATCAGTAGTGGGGGAGCACCGCTGCGACCCCTGGAGTGGTGCCGGTATATCACGCCATAAAGGGGGCTGCGTGTTCCCCCCACCCTCAGTTTCTTCTTACCAGACAACTCTGACAGAGGGGAAGGAGGGTGGGACATGGAATACAGCTGAGCAACACATCTCGAAGAACGCCAGTTACGGAACAGGTAACTGTCCTTTCTTCTTCGAGTGATTGCTCATGTGTATTCCACTATAGGTCACTCCATGCTATCCCTGATGGAGGCAGGTAGGAGTTTCAAGTGTAAAAAAATTTTTAGGGGTTACCCGGGCGGAGCACCGCCCTACCAAACCCGGCGTCATCCCTTGTCTGGGAGACAATCACATAGTGCGATGAGAAAGTGTGGACAGAGGACCACGTAGCAGCCCTACAAATGTCCTGAATAGGGACATGAGCGACATAGGCCGCGGACGAGGCCTGGGCTCTCGTCGAATGAGCCTTCACTATAGGAGGTGGGGGAACCCCTGCCAGGACATAACAGGTGCGAATGCACTAAGTGATCCAGTGGGAGATCTGCTGGGTGGAGACCGGTTGCCCCCTCATGCGCTCAGCCGAAGCAATGAAAAGCTGGGGGGACCTTCTAAATGCCCTGGTTCTGTCCAGGTAAAAGGCCAGTGCTCTGCGCACGTCTAACATGTGCAGGCGGCGTTCCTCGTTGGAGGAATGGGGCTTAGGACAGAGGATCGGGAGGAAAATATCCTGATCCATATGGAAAGCCGAGACCACCTTCGGCAAAAAGTCAGGGTGAGGGCGGAGCTGAATCTTGTCTTTATGAAAGACCGTATAGGGCGGTTCAGAGGTCAGGGCCCTGAGCTCGGAGACCAGGCGGGCTGAGGTGATATCCACTAAGAATGCCACCTTCCAGACAGGTGGGACCACGAACACGTGGCTAATGGCTCAAAGGGAGGCCCTGTGAGGTGGGAGAGTACCAGGTTTAGATCCCAGAGCGGGACCGGGGTTCTGGCATAAGGGAATGCCCTATCTAACCCTTTCAGAAACCGGGACGTCATGTGATGAAAGAACACAGACAGGCCCTGCACCGGGGGATGGAAGACCGAAATGGCTGCCAGGTGCACACTGATGGAGGGGGGTGCCAGGCCTTGGGTCAAAGGGACAAGAGGTAATCGAGGACAAGCTGGATAGGGGCGGAAGAGGGAGAGGAACCTCTATCCCTTGCCCACATAGAGAACCTATACCACTTAGCCAGGTAGGTTCGCCGTGTGGAGGGTTTCCTACCTTCCAGCAGGACCCTTCTCACATCCTCAGAACACCTCCCCTCCTCCTCGTTCAACCACGAAGCAGCCAAGCTGTCAGATGGAGCACGGCTAGGTTGGGATGGAGGAGGAGACCTTCCTCCTGGGAGAGAAGGTCCGGGCGTAGCGGGAGCCTGCAAGGAGGGGCCGCTAAGAGTTGCAGCAAGGACCCGTACCAATGCTCACAGGCCCAATCCGGGGCTATGAGGATCATACTCGCCCCGTCTGACTTCACCTGTAGGACCCTGTCTATTAAGGGGAAGGGCGGGAAGGCGTACAAGAGGGGCCCCGACCATGGGAGCAGGAACGCATCCGATATGGCCCCTCTCCCACTCTGGAGCAGAATCGAGGACACTGTCAATTCTGGGCGGTGGTGAACAGGTCTACCTGGGGAGCACCCCACTGTAGGAAGATCCACCTGGTCACCTCCTTGTACAGGGACCACTCGTGTTGCTGGGAGAATACCCTGCTCAGGCGGTCCGCGAGCGTGTTGCTCTTACCGGGCAGGTAAAAGGCCCGAAGGAGTATACTGTGGGCTATATAAAACTTCCACAGGAGCTGGGCTTCCTGGCATAAGGCCCGGGAACCCATGCCCCCCTGTTCGTTGATGTAGTACATGGCGGTCATGTTGTCCGTGAGGACTCTGACCACCTTCTCTTGTATGTGCTGGCGAAATGCCACGCACGCCAGGCATACGGCCCTGAGCTCCCTGACATTTATGTACAGGGTTAGCTCTTCTGGTGACCACATACCCTGGGTCCTGAAATCCCCCACGTGGGCCCCCCAGCCCAGGTCCGAGGTGTCCGACACTAGATCTAGTGAGGGATGAGGCTCTCGCAAGGGGATACCGCAGAGCATGTTGCTCGGGAGGGACCACCAATGGAGGTCTGCCACCACCCTGGTCGGCACTGTGACAACCTTGTCCAGGCCGTCCCTGGCCTCGGGGTACCGGGAGGCCAGCCAAAGCTGGAGGGGCCTCATCCGAAGCCTGGCATGTTGCACCACGTAGGTGCATGCTGCCATGTGGCCTAGTATTTGAAGGCACACGCGTGCCGTGGTTATCGGAAAAGCCGTGATGGAGGCGATGAGAGCCTTGAGCATCTCAAACCTGTGCCGTGGGAGGGAGGCCGTGGCTACTCGGGAATCTAGCAGCGCCCCTATGAATTGTATGCGCTGGACTGGAAGTAACGTGGATTTCTCCTCGTTTACCAGTAGGCCTAGAGCCCCGCAGATGTCTAGCAGGAACTTCATCTGCTGCTGCACCAGAGCACGAGACCGACCCTTGAGCAGCCAGTCGTCGAGGTAGGGGAAGATCTGCAGCCCTTGCCTCCTGAGGTGGGCCACCACCACCGCCATACACTTGTAAATACCCTGGGGGCAGTAGAAAGGCCAAAGAGGAGGACCGTAAATTGGAAGTGGTCCTGACCCACCAGGAAACGGAGGTAGCACCTGTGACCCTCGAAAATGTGGATGTGAAAGTACGCATCCTGGAGGTCCAGCGCAGTAAACCAATCCCCCTGGTCTAGGGATGGAATAATAGAGGCCAAGGACACCATGCAGAATTTGCAGCGCACGAGAAACTGGTTGAGGTTCCGCAGGTCGAGGATGGGCCGAAGCCCACCCTTTGCCTTGGGGATGAGGAAATACCTGGAGTAAAAACCCTTGCCCTGGTATTCCCGAGGTACTCGTTCCACCGCTCCCAGAGAGAGGAGGCGCCCTACTTCCTGGTAAAGGAGTAAGGCATGCTCCGGGGACCCGTCTGGCCGCCCGGATGGGGAACAAGTGGGAGGGGCTGAAACAAACTGCAGCTTGTACCCTTGGGAGATGGTACTGAGGACCCATTGGTCCGACGTGATATGGGACCACTGCAGTCGGAAGTCCGATAAATGGTTTAGAAAAGGTAACTTTATTAACTGGGTGGGGGGTACACTGGCAACAGGCCCGGTGACCCCCCCCCAACAAGTCAAAAATGCCATTTTCCCTGCCGTTTGGCCTTTAAGGCCCCCGGATATGGGGCCGAGCGGGATTGGCGTTGGGACCGATGTCTTTGATCCCTCTGCCACATAGGCGGGGGTTCATATCTGCCCCTAGCTCGCGGAGCAGAGGGTTGAGGCCTGGGTTTGTCCTTAGCAGGCGGGACGTAGAGGCCTAGCATCTGCAGGGTGGTACGGGAGTCCTTCATCCCGTGCAGATGGGTTTCTGTCTGGTCCGCGAAAAGGGCCTTGCCATCAAATGGCAGGTCCTGCATTATGGACTGGGATTCTGATGACAACTCCGAAAGCGAGAGCCACGCTGCCCGTCGCATGGAGACAGCGGTCACCATCGAATGAGCGGCTGTGTCTGCAGCGTCCGAAGCCGCCTGGAGAGCCGCTTTGGCGGCGGTCGCACCCTCTTCAACCAACGCCCTGAACTCCTTCACCTCCTTGTCAGTAATGAGGGGCTCAAATTTGGGGAGGGATCCCCACAGGTTAAACTCGTAGCGGCTCAGAAGCGCCTGATGGTTGGCCACTCTAAGCTGGAAACTCATTGACAAATAAACCTTTTTACCAAAGGCATCAAGTCTACGAGCATCCTTGTCCTTTGGCATGGGCGCGGGCTGGCCACAGCACCGTGGGCTCCCCGTCTGGGTTCAGTGCCGGAGTCGGTGCCGAGGGTTCGGCACCCATGAATTGATCTCAGTGCCATGAAGGTGACCCGGGTTGGCACTGAGAAGCTCCAGCCATGGAGCGAGGGCCTGGCTGCGCAGGTGCCTGAGGCCACGGTGCCCACTGGCACCACTGTCCCTGCCAGGGCACGGCCTGGAGCAGAGGCGCATCGGGCACTGGCAGGGCAGGCTGGTCCTGTGGTGCGGTGCGGCCCTGGGAGAGACGG